CTGCAAAGCCCTTTTAAACCCAGTTGTTTCTCAGTCACTACGCTGGTTGCAACCAGGTTTTGAACCCAAAACAACTGGAGACACCTGAGTAGAATAGCCATAGCTTGGAAAAGGTTTCCAAGGAGTGACTGAGTGTTGTTCTATCCAAAAGCCAGGTGCACTGGGCTCTAGTAGAATACAGAAAGCGCCTGAGCTGAGGGTCCCTGGGTAGAGGGTTTGATGATGGTAGCTAGGTCCCACCTGTCCTAGAAAAGACAGTAACAAAATTCAAGAGCACTTGGCTGCTTGGGGAAAATGGTGTTCCCTTTCTTTTGTCTTTGCAGGTAATAGACCATTTGCCATTCTTGACTGAACATTTTCAGCTCATGTTACCAAACATTTAGCAAAAGGGGGAGGGGGGAATCAAAATCAGTCGACTCCACTCTTCCCAATGTCTAGAGCAGAAACAAAACTACAAAGAATGACTGCTGGAGATTTCCACAGGTCAAAAGAGAGCTGGGTTCCATTCTCATGGACTCCCTGGAAAACTTGCCTTTTGAGTGGCAGCCTCTGGGAACTACAAGGAGTGTGTTTGGTGGTGACCTCAAGGGCTGCCATGAATGTCTTAGGGTTTCTTCTACTGTGATAAAACATCAGGACAAAGCCAACTTGAGAGGACACCCTGGGAAGCCAGGGGAGCAACTCACGGCAGGAGCTGATACAGAGACCACGGAGGAATGCTACTTACTGGCTTGCTCTTCATGGCTTGGTCAGCTTGTTTTGTTATACACCCACCCCATGATCACGTGCCCAGGGGTGACATCACCCACATGGGCTGCGCCCTCCCACATCAATCACTAATTAAGAAAACGCACTACAGGAAATCTTACGGAGACATCAATTGAGAATTGTTCTTCCCAGATGATTCCACTTTGTGTCAGGTTGACATGGAACTAGCCAGGATGATGGGAGAACTCTCTCTCTCAGCCTGATGAGCCAGGGTGTGAGGGAATGTGAAAGATGTCTCAGAACTTAAGAGCACTTGCTTACTTGCTTGTCTTGTAGAATGCCCAGGTTCGGTTCCCAACACTTACATGGTCACTCAAAATCAAACTCCAGTTCTGGGAGATCTAATGCTCTCTTCTGGCCTCTGTGGCCACAGGCATGACTATAGTGAGCAGAAATACATGCAGGCCAAACACTCAAGGGCTTGGGGGCAAAAAAAAAAAGCAGTGTCTGTGGGCTTCACCTGTGTCAGCATTCCTTGGCCACAAAAAGTTTCCCCTGTTAGTTAGCTCCAGGAGTAAAAATCAAGGATTCCCATACACAGCTTTTTGTCTTTCCAAATCTTTCCCCCCAACTCAGTATTTCCTAAGAGGGTATTTCCAAAGGAGCCAGGATTGGCTGGTACTTTGCACTGGGTTGTTTGTCGACATGGTCAGCTAAGCTCCATGTGTCTTGTGGTAATGGGGCTGCCCTGGTACCAAGGTTTTATGCTTCACGGTTCTTGTACTCACCTTGAAGCATCGTTAGTGTAACACTAGCCATACAGGATATCCTCTGCTCTTATCTGAACAGGAAGAAGGGAGGACAGAAGAGTGGGTGGCTCCACAGAACTTGGGAAGCTGAGATGGGGAGAGGGAGGATGGCATGAAAATCGGGCCCCAGTCACCAGAGAGAGACTTTTACAGGGTGACATGCCTCAATGGTCTGAGTATATATAGTGTCAAGGGCCGCTGCCTCCTCTTTCTTGTTCACTCAGCAAGCATCACATCCTCCAGTTAGGCCTCTAGATGGCCCACTCTTTGGGTACTAGGTAGAGAACCTGTTGGACAGCTGGTAAAAGGCTCCCAGCACCTGAAATAGTGATCTTATTACTGAAGTTCACCTTTTGAGGCCTCTTGAAACTGGCCCTGTGCTGAAGCAAAAACAGAGAGGCTCAGATTGGTGGCCCAGGCCTGTAATCCTAATCGCAGAATTGGGGAGGCTGAGGTAGGAAGGCCTTTAGCTACAGAGAGAGTCAGGTCAGCATGGCAGCATGAGTTACATGAGCTCCTTTTAAAATCACACACACACAGAGAGAGAGAGAGAGAGACAGAGAGACAGAGAGAGAGAGAGAGAGAGCGAGTCTGTGCATGATTGCCTTGTATACTTTTTTAAAACTGAAGAATAAAAATTCAGTTAATGTTCCCCCCTCCAATCAAAGACATTGGGGATGAAGATTTAAAAATTATTTTTTTTTTGAGACAGGTTTTTTTTGTTTGTTTGTTTGTTTGTTTTTGTTATTTTCTTCTGTGAAACAGTCCTGGCTGTGCTAGAACTCACTTTGTAGCCCAGGCTGGCCTCGAACTCACTGAGATCTACATACCTCTGCCTCCCAAGTGCTGGGATTACAGGTGTGCACCACCTCTGCCTGAAGATTATAAGGGAAATCCTCAACAGGAGATGGGTTAGGCACTCTACCTTAAAGTTTCTTTTTATTAGCTACCTGGTGCTGCGTAATACTTCCATTTTCTCTTTCATTAAAAACATTCAAGGGACTAGGCCTAGGTGGCCCACATCTTTAATTCCAGCACTCAGGAGACAGAAGCAGTATCAGGCAAATCTTGGTGAATTCTAGGCCAGCTTGGTCTACAGAGTGAGTCACACAGAAACAATGTCTTGAAAACAACATAAATTTCAAGGATTGGTTGGGATGGTTCAGTGGGTATACACGCTTGTTCCTGTTGTGACTACCCCAGTTCAAGTACCAAGACCCACATTGTGGATGGAGAGAACCAGCTTCTACATTGTCCTCTGACCTCCTCCACACTGGGTATGTGCACAAACCTTAACTGTTAGCTTTCAAACCTGGGACAGGTGGCCCAAGTGCCTATTTAACATATGAAAGTGGATCTCTTAGTTCCAACCAGGTATAGGGTATGGTTTACATACCCAACCCACTACCCTAATCTTCCCTCTCAGGGGCTGAGCTGCCCTTCCCTATATAATCCAGCCATTTTGGTTACCTGGCCTCTTTCGTCTACTCTCTTGTCCAGTGTCTTGGCCCAGGCTGCTCTTCTTAGTTAGTAGCTGTTCTTCCCTCCTCCCCTCCGCATCTCCTAAAGTGTCTCAGGGTCATGTCCATTCTGGACTCTCCCTGATGTCCCCGCCTCTGGCTACGACCTCCCACACATTTGCAGTATACTTCCTCTTCCATCACACCTAGGAACAGTCATGCCCTTTACTTTTTATTTTATTTTTTTCATTCAGTAATCTTATACACACACACACACACACATTTAAAAAAAAGAATGAAAACTACAGGAGAGTTGAGCGTATAGATACTTGGTTTTGTGTTGTAACTGGAGAGACATCACAGTTTGGAGGGCTTGCTGCTCTTTCAGATGATCCAAATTTTGGTCTTTAGTGCCTTGTAATTCTGTCACTCCATCTCCAGGGAATCTGACCTCCAGCCTCCATAATTACCTACACTTATGAGCACACACCACCACATGGCATTCTTAAACACTGAGTCCCTTCTTTCTTGTTGTTGAGAGGGGGGTCTCACAACATAGCTCAGTCTAGCTTTGAACTCAGGCTCCTCCTACCTCAGCCTCCCAAGTGCTTATTCCAGCCATGCTGCAGAAACTTCTATACAACTTTCTACTATAGTCCATATTTGTTTTCCCCATGGCATGGAAATAGTCTTTAGTTTTAAGTCAAGAATACACGCACAGAATTTTACTGTCCCTTTTGTCTACTAATAAAAGGCCTCTGTGACTCCCTTTGTTTACATCACAATTGATAAGCCAGTTGTCCTTTTGTCTCAGAGTGTCCTTTGTAAAGCAATGTCCTAGGACTTCCAGACCCTTTAAGTATTTAGTCTTCACTCACCTTCATCCAACAGTTTTTAGCTGTTGATCATTTTCTAGCTTGTTATTGCAAGTGGTCGCAATAAAGACCAAACCAAGCTGGGGGTGGGGGGCACACCTTTGATCCCAAGTAGAGGCAGGAGGATCTCTTGAATTCTTCAGTTTGCCTGGTCTACAGAGCGAATTCCAGGATAGCCAGGGATACACAGAGAAGCCTTAGCTCAACACACACACACACACACACACCAAAAGCAAAACCAAACAAAAAACAAACGAAGGAAAACTTTGCTTTAAGCTGTTACTAAATAGACAACTGGAAGGACTTTACATGTTACCAGGCTGTGCTGGACCTGGGGAAACCCAGGTTTATCTTCATCATAAGCCATAAAAGACTGAAATCACCTCCTCACCAGTGAACCCATTACATGGCTTCAAATTTGTTTGAAATTAATAATGAATAAACCACATTTATTCAGAGAATAGTCTGAAGCCTAGACCAGTTTGGGGTGGAGTGGCCAGGCGAGGCACACATGAGGGGAGTTTTGAAATCCAGATCAGTGGAAAATATCCAATCCTGGACTTTCAAGGAGGATCTTGGGGTCACTTTAAAGGCGCCGTGAGCTTTTAGTGAAGAAAAAAAAAATGAATTCCCAAATTTTGTTTTCATTTTTATTATGACAAGAATTGTAGTTGACTTCTTGGAAGCTAGTTGCTCAGGTACCACACAAAAAGACGCTCCAGGATCTGATTCCTTTGGGATGGAGAAAACCACAGTCTTTTAGAAGTCTTAGACCTTCCAGCGTGGATCCCTGCTTTTCAGGGTTCAGGCCACATCAATTATTTCCCAGGGGAAGGCCACAAGCACCGATTCCTATTCCCAAACCCCCTGGATTCATAAGAACAAGGCAGTACAGGCAACAACCCTAGTTAGCTTGGGACAGATAGGCAGGGCAGGGTGGTGGCCTGGCGTGGTCTTCCAGGGGCACAGCCTGAGGGTGCAAACAGTGAGTTTGAGATTGGGCCCCGGAGGGGGCGGGCTACAGTGGGTGTGGTCTAACCAGCCACAGCCCTCCCAGGTGCTAAGCTTCCTGAGTGCTGGGTCTGAGGGCCACAAGGTTAAACCTGAACTACTCTTGGCTGGAAACTGGTTGCTTGTGAGGAACCGAGATGGCAAACTACCCAACCCGTCAAGATGTCCCGCCATGGGTGAAAGTCCCTGAAGATCTGAAAGATCCAGAGGTATTCCAAGTCCAGACACTGCTGCTAAAATATCTGTTTGGTGAGTGGCAAGTCTTGACGCAGCTGCTCAGCTCAGGCCTAGGCTCCCTGGCCTGGAGAGTTCATTTCCTTCCTCCAACAGGCCCACAAGGATCTCGACTCACTCACATGGAGCAGGTGAGCAAGGTCATGCTGGAGCTGAAGAGTCTGGAGTCTTCTGAACTCAGTGAGATCTTAGTTTATGGCTCTCATGACCACAAGCTTCGGGCCAAGTGGATGCTTCAGTCCATGGCAGAGAGGTACCGCCTGCGCCAGGAAAGAGGTGAGACTCGGTAGCAGGTGCTCGGAACCACGGCTTGGTGGGTAGCCTCAACCCTCCACCATGCTTACCTCTGCTCGCACCCACTGCCTGCATGCCTGTAAGGATGACTTGCTTTAGACATTACCAGGGACCCCCCCCCTCTCTTTCTGGGTTGTCTCTGAGAATCCTTTGGTGGTTCGGGGCCCCAGAGGTTAGTCTAAGGTAAGAAGGGGCTGGAACTGGTTCCTCTGAGCAGGGTTATTCCACATCCCCATCTCCAGGTGTCTAGGAGAATGTTAGAACTGGCCCCGGTGGTGTCTGCTTCAGACCCAGAATGCAGGACTCTAATTAAAAGTCGACAAAAAGATGGTGAAAGTGGCAGCGAATGCTGAGGACTCCTATTTGCTCCACAACACTTTAATCCTCCTGTTGGTGTTTCTCATGCAGGAATGCTGAAGCTGGAGGAAGCCATGGAGACCTTGGAACTAAGCCAGGGTTTGGAGTGAAGCCACTTTTCAGTCAATGTGACACATTAGGCTGTGGCCAGTGTTGGAGCAATTCTGGTGTGGTTTTTAAACTTTGTTATATCCCTTACAGTCTAACAAGATATTTCTGGGTCCCTGACTTGCAGTGAGTTATGATTAGAGTATTTCGAGTTTCCAAGGTTGCTAATAAACAACAAAATTTAAATAATCAAATCGTTTTTTGGCACTGTATCTAATGAATTGTAGATCATAACTTGCTATCAGATGCATCATAAAGGTGTGATCCTTATGGCTTGTCACTGCACTGAAATCCTGGGGAAGTAGGTATCACACTGTCTGGAACTCACCCAGGATATCATAAAGAACAATAGCTCTAGGCCAGGGCGGTGGTAGTTCAGGTCTTTAATTCCAGCACTCCGAAGGCAGAAAGAGGCAGGCAGATCTCTGTGAGTTGGAGGCCAGCCTGGTCTACAGAGTGAATTCCAGGACAGGCCCCAAAGCTACACAGAGAAACCCTGTCTTGACAAAACAAAACAGAAAAAAAAAAGGTTCTAAAATGCATTAATGTAAAACAATACTTGCACTCCATCATTAATAGCATGGAAGAGCCAAGACCCTTTCTCTTGTGCATCTTTGCATCCTTGTAAATGCTTTGATGATATACAGCTTGTGGGATCGTTTAGCTTCTGTATTCAACCTGTTTTGGAATACTAACTTGTAATGTGGGTTTGGATTGCTGCATAAGGCGCCAAAGGGAAAGTGGAACTTCTGAAGGCTGAAAAGCCACCAAAGTAGGTGTCGCAGCTTACCCTGTAGCTCCTAATTTGATAGTTAACCAGAAATAAATCCCACTCTAGGGAGATTTCTGGTTCTATGGCCTTAAGTAAGTTGTTTAACCACCCCCATTTCCCGCAATATTCAGGGTCTCTAGGCACTTGGGAGACAGGAGGATTTGGAATTCATGGCCTGTCTCAGCTAAAAAGCAAGTTCTAGGCCAATTTGGGCTACAACCCCATCTCAAAATACAACCATGTGTTCATCCACATATACATGTATATGTAGGGTACTTAGAAACAAATACCGCATGTAACAGTTAATATAGCTTGCAGAGATTGGCAGTGGTGGGAGAAAGCCAGTAGTCTGTTAAGATAAACCTTGTTGTGTCCATGGAACAACTGCTTTCCCTTTTGTGGTCAGTAAGGACAACATTGTTGTCTGGGCAAGTAGCTGAGTGTGACCTCCAACTCATGATCCTCTTGCCCTCGCTTCCCAAGTGCTGGCATTATATTCGTGCCACCACGCCCAGTGCCAAGAGGGCCTCATAGAATTTTCCCATCCAATTAAAAGATCCAAACTCCCTTTCCCTGTCAGGCTCTAAGTAACCTCACCTGTGTGTTCTAGGCTTCATTTCTGCCCCAGCTTATCCTCCTCTCCAGACCCCAAGTTTGTTACTTGAAGAGCATTGGCTTTTTGTTGTTTTTAGGAGGGGGTCTCACCATGTACACCCTGGCTGTCCTTGAATTCACAGAGGCCCTCCTGCCCTTGCTTCCTGTGTCCTGGGAACAGGGAAAAGCTAGTTTAACTCTTAAGTGATCCATCTTTATCTCTACTGGGGGCCCCTCTCTAAGGTTGGCTTTTTCTTCTCTCTTTCACAAACCTGACAGTGTTAGCATTTCATTTTTACCTTTTCTTCATTAGAGTATGAATTTAAGGTGATTTAAAAAAGAGGCAATAGAGTATAGTATAAAATCATTAAGGACAGTGTGATAAGACACACAGACTGCCTTTTTGGTTTTTTTTTTTGTTTAATGTATCTTTAATTTTAAGATTTATTTTATGTATGAGTATATTATCTGTATATATGACTTCATGCCAGAAGAGGGTATCAGATCCCATTATAGATAGCTGTGAGCCACCATGTGGGTGCTGGAAACTGAACCCAGGACCTCTGGAAGAGCCCTCAACCGCTTGCTGAGCCATCTGTCTAGCCCTTGGGGGAATTTTTGAGACAGGGTTTCTCTGTAACAGTCCTGGCTGTCCTGGAACCGTCTTTGTAGACCAGGCTGGCCATGAACTCACTGAGATCTGCCTGCCTCTGCCTCTGATGGGATTAAAAGGCCTCCACTGCCCTTTTGGACTACCTATCTTTCAATCTTTCAGCATGCTTCAGTCTTCAATCTGTGAGTGTAAAGGCTGTGGAGAGGAACAAGTGAGTGACAACTATCCTGAGCCTCTGTCAAATCAGAATATCTGATGCAACAGAGATCAATCGGATCGCCATATACACACATGTGAAGTACACATATACTACACTTGTATCGCCATTGAGAGATGTACATCATTATATACATGCATCTATACAAATATCTGCATATACACATATGACCATTGAGATAAATTCACACACAACCTTTGAGAGGCGTATATACATTACTATATGTTCCACATATACACATCAATATTGAGATACATATGTATATGTATGTATATATGTATTGTCATCAATATATATGACGGGAGATATCATTCTGTATATGTATTTTTTTGTTCCTTTTGAGGCAGGTTCTTACTGTAGCACAGGTCTCAAACATCAATCCTACTGCATCAGCCTCCTGACTGTTGAGGTTATAGGAATGAGCACCACTCCTGTATTCAATAAATATTTTTTCCTTTTTTAATTGCATTTTCAGTAGGTGTATAGGCTTTGTATGTGCATATATAGGTACATCATGTGTGTACATTGTCAGAAGAGGGTGCTGGATCCTCTGGAAATTGGTGGTTATGAGCTTACCTTGTGCATGCTGGGAACTCAATCCAAACCCTGTGCAAAAGCACAAATGCTCTTTACCACTGACCCATCTCTCCAGCCCATAATAAATATTTTTGTTTGTTTTGGGTTTTTTTTTTTCCCTAAACAAGGTTTCTTCGTGTAGCCCTGACTATCCTGGAACTCACTCTGTGGGGCAGGCTGACCTTGAACTCACAGAGATCCGCCTATCTACCTCCTGAGTGTTGGGATTAAAGGCATGTGCCACCACTGAAGTGAGAGACTGTTCTTGTTCTATTGTCTGGATGGGCTTAGACCCCCATCTGGGGTCCTCCAAGATTTCTATCATGGAATAGTCAAGGACAATACCATCGGTATCCTTTATACAATTTTTTGTTGTCATTAGATGCCATACGTCCTGTGGGTCCTCAAGAAAGACAGATACACATTTGGCTTGCTAAGGTACCAATCATTCACTACATTAGCGTTTTGAATCTCATCCTTGAGAATTCTGGCTTGAGAGTTCTGGACCATTCAGACATTATGAAGGAAACAAGGACTTTGGGTTTTGATTGTCTTTAAATTATTACTATTATTTTAGATTTTTAAATTTTAGTTCATGTGTATGATTTTTTTGTTTTGTTTTGTGTTTGTTTGTTTTTGTTTTAGGTGAATATATACCTGTGCACCATTTGTTTCTGATGCTAGAGAGGTCAGAAAAAGGCATCAGATTCCCTGAACTGGAGTTGTGAGCTACCTTGTGGGTGCTGGGAACCAAACCCAGGTCCTCTGTAAGCACCAGTGCTCTTAGTCACTGGGCCATCTCTAGTTCCAGTTTAAAATGGATGTGGTGATACCTGCCTGTAATCCCAGCACTTGACAGGTAGGGGCAGGAGGACCAGGAGTTTGAGGTCATTGTCAGCTACTTTTGGAGGTCAGCTTTGGCTACAGGAGACCCTGACTTCAAACGAACACATGAACAGGCTTGATGGGGATATGGGAATGTAGGAGAATGTTAGAGCTTACCTAGCATCAAGGAAGCTGGGGATTTGATACTCTTAACTCTGGGAACTGGAGGTATGATCAGAAAGTCAAGATTATCCTTAGCTACATAGTACATGGCCAGCCTGGGCTACTCGAGATCCTTTCACCAAAAAAAAAAAAAAATCTGTTACCCGTTTGGGGGGGGGGGGTTCTAGACAGGGTTTCTCTGTGTAGCTTTGGAACTTTTCCTGGAACTCACGGAGCCTTCTTCTGCCCCCTAAGTACTGGGATTAAAGGCATGTGCCACCACTGTCCCCCAGCTAGGAAATAATGATTTTTATAGCAAGTACATCTTTGATTTTAACTAACTAAACACAGAAGAAAGAGTTAATATTTGGAGTGTAAGAGAAGTTTGTTTCCACTTTTGATTACTAAAAAACTGAGTCTTCCTTGGTGATGCATGTCTTTCATACTAGTACTGGGGAGGCAGAGGCAGGCAGATCGCACAGCGATCTATTGAGACTGGCTTAGCTCAATGTAATCACCTGTGAAGTAAGGCTGCAGCTGCTCTAACCATTGTTTTCTGGGGATTCCAGAACAAACTGGATTTCCTGGAGCTAGCTTCTTAAATTTACATACATTTGAAACAAACACTACAAGGCTAGGCATGTGTACTGTCCTGGAGTGCTGAAGCCTTGGTTCAGTCCTCAGCCCTGTAAAGGAAAGGACATCAGAAGCTTAAATGCTGCATTCAAGCTGGTCAAAACCCTAGTGGGGCCGGGGAGATGGCTCATCACGTGCAAGTGCTTTCTGTCAAGCCCTATTGCCTGAGTTTAACTCCTGGGACCCTCTTGGTGGAAGGAAAGAAGTGACTTTAACAAATCATCCTTGAACCTCCACACATAATGCCATGGCATGCACTTACCCTCATCTCCATACATACATACACTCCACACACATACACACACACAAGCAAAAATGATAGAAAAGAGTCTCTACTATCTATTTCATTTTCATCATTTTCTCACAGCAATGATTTTCCTGTATACATTTTCAGGGGTTTTTAAAAAGTACCCCTGACTTGTGTGTGTGTGTGTGTGTGTGTGTGTGTGTGTGTGTGTGTGTGTGTGGTTTATATGCTTTACTACTACAGAAATGTAGAGATCAGAGGAATGAAGCTGGATCTCTTTCACATGCAGGTATGTTCTGGAGTTAAGACTCAGGTCATCAGGCGTGGCAGCAAGTACCTTACCGGTTGAACCACCTTGCT